TGTGTGTGTGTGTGTGTGTGTGTGTGTGTGTGTGTGTGTGTGTGTGTGTGTGTACAATCCAAGAATCAGAGCAGCAGAAGTGTTACTCAGTCATTGTTGCTGCAGATCCACTTACTGATGACTTTACTTTACTTTACTTTACTTTATTGATTATATAGAGCACTCCTCACAGGATAAAAAACACAAAGTGCTTCACAATAATATAAAACAGATAAACATAATACGGTACAATCAAACATACAGCGCAAATCTAATTAAAAGCTAGTCTAAATAAGTGAGTCTTAAGATGATGTTTAAAAGAATAAATACAATCCAGGCAGCGTAGAGATGGAGGGAGAGAATTCCACAACCTGGGGGCGACCGCTCTAAAAGATCTATCACCTCTGGTTTTAAAATATGTTCAGGGAACTACCAACAGCCTTTGATGAGATGATCTCAGGCTGCGAGAGGGAGTGTGAGGTTCTAAAAGATCAGAAATATAGGCAGGAGCGTCATGATTCAAAGCTTTAAAAGTCAGGACTAAGATTTTAAAATGAATTCTAAAGTGTACTGGAAGCCAGTGTAATGAGCGTAACACTGGTGTAATGTGTTCTCTTTTTCGTGTCTTAGTTAAAAGCCTTGCAGCAGCATTCTGGACTAACTGGAGACGGTCAAGATTCCTTTTGCTCAAACAAAGAAAAAGACTGTTACAATAATCTAAGTGAGAAGAAATAAAAGCATGGGTAATCATTTCTAACTCTGATTTAGACAAAAAAAAAGTTCACAGTTTGGAAATATTTCATAGCTGAAAAAGGCAGTTACTAATTAATCTAGAGTGTTGCTCTAGAGACATGGCAGAATCAAAAACAACATGAGATACCTGAGGCTCGGGTGAACAGATGATCCAAGAGAACCAAGATGCTTTTTGATTATAGCTATCTGGCTTTCAGGGGCAATAATTAATGTTTCTAACTTCTTAGAGTTCAACTGCAAGTAGTTTTCTCCAAGATACTGTTTAATGGAAGCTAAACATTTTATGAAAAAAGGACATTTTATGGACTTCCATCGGCTTAAAAGAGCAGTAGAGCTGAATATCATCAGCATAAAAGTGATAAGACTGCCTAATTATAAGTCCTAGGAGTAACATGTACAGGAGAAAAAGAATCGGTCCCAGAACTGAACCCTGTGGGACCCTTCATGTCAGGTCCTTAGAGTGTGATATAAACTGATTTGCAAAGACACTAAAAGATCTGTTGGAAAGGTATGACTGAAACCACTCCAGCGCAAGACCGGACACACTGACAGTGACTATGTCCCGGAGCCTGTTAATCAGGATGGTATGGTCAACAGTGTCAAAGGCAAATGTTAAGTCCAGCAAAACCATGACTGTGGATGCTCCGGGGTCAGCCGACATCATAATGTCACTAGAGACCTTAATTAATGCGGTTTCTGTTGAGTGACACTTACGGAAACCAGACTGAAATTTGTCATAAATGTCACGTTTTTCTAAAAAAGCAGTAAGTTGATCAGCAACTGCTTTTTCCAGAATTTTTGACAGTAATGGGAGTTTAGAGATAGGCCTATAATTCTTGGTTGAGCTTTGTAAATGATCATTTGTTATCTCCTGCAGATATAGTTTCAATATGCAGGCCTCTTACTCGAAATAAATACTGTTGGCTCTCCTCCAAGAGGAAGTAATTTTAACAGTTTGTGCCAATACTTGGAGCGGTTGTTGCAACATGTGGTGCATTTGTTACACAGCCAAACTGGGTTTGACCAACCAAAAGTGGATATTTTTAACCTCTGTCTAAAATTATCCAAACCATTTTAAGATAATTAATTATAATACTTAAAATTAATATATTTTAAATATAATCATACTTTGATTATCTAAGTTGAAATCAGATGTTGACATATTTCTAAAATATTAAATTTGACTTCTTTTCTTGGTGTGCATAGTATTTTGATGATACTATTGTGTTTATTACTCTGGTATGACATGTATTTATGCAGTAATTCTGCATGACATAGGTATTTATTTCATAATGTTGGTCATTATTCTTCACATGAAATAAAATAATAACCTTGTTATGAAATCTGCCAGATAAAAACAACTGGAGATAAAAATCAAATGACATGTTATGTCATACAAGGCAAACTGCAGACACAGTGTGTGAAAAACTACATCCTATGCTTCAACTTATAGAAAAACGTTAAGCAGTAATAACTTAAAGTAAATATTTTATGTATTTTCTGCCAATTCTTCTTTACAGTGTTTATTCAGTTTATTGATGTTTGTGGACACTTGTTTGTGCACAGCTCTCTTCTTGGTCAGGTTGAGAATTGGACTTTGACTTTGATTCAGTGACTTCAAGGTGGCCAAAACAAGCACACACCATCACCCCTCCACCACTGTGAGTGATAGTTGGTATTAGCTTTTTGTGCTGATATGCTGTGTGTAGGCTTTTTCAAATATGTAACTATGCCAAAACATCTCCAGTACTTAATGTGCTTCATGTTTTCTCTCTTTTTTTTATAGATTAAGAATGGAGAAACCTACTGAGTATAAACAGATGGACAATTCAACTCAAGAGGCTTCACCAACAGGTAGGATATCAATAGTTTGTCTGAGGAGTTGTCATTAACACAGAAACATGTATACACTGATCGATGAGAGCTCTTGTTGTTTTCAAAGAGAACTTGCTGGAAGGGCCACCTCACAATTTCTACCAATGAATCTTTTAAACTCCTTTAAGTCAGATACGCTTCAGGTTGTTAACCAGCAGTAATACTTCAGAGAGGAAAAAGGTTCTTGGATCTGATGAGACACTGTTTCTGTGTGTCGATGTTTTTTAATTCATTTAAAATGAATTTACGGCATAAAAACAAGAGATCTGAATACTTTCTTAATTGACTCACAGATTCCCAGTGAATTAAAGAAATGTTTTGGAAGGTCAACAATTGACTACAAGTTGTCAAATAATCTTATAATGTTGTTTTGTCATTCAGATGGTCCTCTAAAGTGTGAGTCAGAACTCAAATCTAAACTAAAGAGGGAGCTCCGGTGTGTATTTGAGGCGAGCACCAAAGGAGAAAGCCCAACCCTTCTGAATCTGATATACACAGATCTGTATATCATAGAGGGAGGGACTGCAGAGGTCACTGATGAACATGAGCTCAGACAGATTGAAATGGCATCCAGGAAATCAGACAGGCAAGAAAAAACAGTCAGACAAGACAAGATCTTTAAAGGCTCACCTGGAAGAGAAGAACCAATCAGAACAGTGCTGACAAAGGGAGTGGCTGGCATTGGGAAAACAGTCTTAACACAAAAATACACTCTTGACTGGGCTGAAGACAAAGCCAACCAGGACATCCAGTTCATGTTTCTGTTCACTTTCAGAGAGCTGAATCTTTTGAAAGAGAAAACTTTCAGCTTGGTGGAACTTGTTCATCACTTCTTTACTGAAACCAAAGAAGCAGGAATCTGCAGCTTTGAAGACTTCCAGGTTGTGTTCATCTTTGATGGTCTGGATGAGTGTCGACTTCCTCTGGACTTCAACAACACCAAGATCCTGACTGACCCTAGAGAGTCCACCTCAGTTCATTTGCTGCTGATAAACCTAGTTAAGGGCCATTTACTTCCCTCTGCCCATGTCTGGATAACCACACGACCTGCAGCAGCCAATCAGATCCCTGCTCAGTTTGTTGACATAGTGACAGAGATCAGGGGGTTCAATGACCGACAGAAGGATGAATATTTCTGGAAGAGATTCAGAGATGAGGAGCAGGCCAGTATTATAATTTCCCACATCTTGTTATCAGAAAACCTTCACATCATGTGCCGCATCCCAGTTTTCTGCTGGATCACTGCTACAGTTCTGGATTCTCTTACAATAAATAATGAGAGCAGTGATCTGCCTAAAAGCCTCACAGAGCTGTACATCCACTTCATGATGGTGCAAGTCCAATTGAAGAAGGTCAAGGATGAAGGATCGGAGACAGATCCACCCTGGAGTCCAGACAGCAGGAAGATGATTGAGTCTCTGGGAAAACTGGCTTTTCATCAGCTACAGAAAAGAAACCTGATCTTCTATGAATCAGACCTGACAGAGTGTGGCATCGATATCAGAGCAGCCTCAGTGTACTCAGGAGTGTTCACACAGATCTTTAAAGAGGAGAGAGGACTGTACCAGGACAAGGTGTTCTGCTTTGTCCATCTGAGTGTTCAGGAGTTTCTGGCTGCTCTTCATGTCCATCTGACCTTCATCAACTCCGGAGTAAATCTGCTGGAAGAAAAGAAATCTTGGTCATTTAAACTGTTTGGAATTAAACACAAGCAAAAAGTCTTCTACCAGTGTGCTGTAGACAAGGCCTTACAGAGTCCAAATGGACACCTGGACTTGTTTCTTCGTTTCCTCCTGGGTCTTTCACTTCAGACAAATCAGACTCTCCTACGAGGCCTGCTGACACAGACAGGAAGTAGCTCACAGACCAATCAGGAAACAGTTCAGTACATCAAGAAGAAGCTCAATGAGAACCTGTCCACAGAGAAAAGCCTCAACCTGTTTCACTGTTTGAATGAACTGAATGATTGTTCTCTAGTGGTTGAGATCCAGCAGTACCTGAGTTCAGGAAGTCTCTCTACAGATGAACTGTCTCCTGCTCAGTGGTCAGCTCTAGTCTTCATCTTACTGTCATCAGAAAAAGATCTGGATGTTTTTGACCTGAAGAAATACTCTGCTTCAGAGGAAGCTCTTCTGAGGCTGCTGCCTGTGGTCAAAGCCTCCAAAAAAGTCATGTAAGTGAGTGTGTGTTCATACCTTAAGTTTTAAAATAAATTTGAGTCAGTGATTTCTTTTTTTCACTCGTGCATCACTGGTGTTGGCATCACTTTCTATCTTTGGCACAATTTGTATTCAGAAGTTAAATAATTAAAGTTAATTTGTTAACTGTTCTACGACAGTAAACCGTAACACTGCAGAGGTTAGGTTTCAGCATTTATTTGATAAACACACACACACACACACACACACAGCGAGAGAGAGGGAGAGAGAGAGAGAGAGAGAGAGAGAGAGAGAGAGAATAGAAAACAAAAAGAAAACTGTTAAACCAGAAATTTAAACTGTTTTGAGAGTTTAGGTGCAGTTAGGCAACGTTCACTTCTTTGATGTAAGCAAACACAGAACCAAAGAAACATGCCATCTCCATACAGAAGTGCCCCACCCATGGCTGAACATCCTTTGCAGCTGCCATCAAACTGAATCATACTCCTTTGGTCATTCCATGTGAGATCTGAGTAACATCTCACTCAATGATTCATGACTGCCTCCAGCATCGCTGTTTCACTTTTTCCTCTATTTCCTCTTATCTGACAGGTTTTCTATTTTGTGAGAACTATAAATTTCACCGGCATGCTATATTTTTCTCAAGTCCATTCATCTCCTCCTTCCCTGTTTATGCTGCAGTTACAGTTGAATATCCTTTGAGTGTATAGGCTGTAGTCTCCCTGGAAAAATTACTTACACATTATCTCTCTTATTTGCCATGTCGTCTGCTATCATCCTTCCTCCACTCATCTTCTTTCAGTCCTGCCCCATGTGCTTCCTGCACATGCTGATTGTTATACTAATTTTTAAGTTACCAAACATTTAAAACACAGCAAACTTTCAGCACAACATTTTCATTCAGCTCACACAATGATTGCTAAACATTGCTCCTACCGTCACTTCTGCAAAAGCTCCTAAATGAATCACTAAATGAATAGGTGCATTGTTGCTTGTCTGAGCTACTTCAGTGTACGATTACCTCCATACATCATACATACTAAAATTTGGAAAGTCACAAATGGCACTACAGACCTGTCTAGTTGGATACTGGTTAACCTAGTACAATTAAATCTACCAGTTCCGCATTGGTTTTCATTCGTTTTTGCTAAGAAAATTTGAAGTGTTTCACATTTGTCCTCAGTATTTATTGTTTTGTTTTTCCATTTAATTGTGCAGATTCAACATTAAAGGTGATTTAATTTGATTTTTTTTTTCAGACTGAATGACTGTCAGCTCTCAGAGAAAAGCTGTGAAGCTCTGTCTTTAGTTTTCAGCTCCCAGTCCAACAGTGTGAGAGAGCTGGACCTGAGCAACAATGACCTGAAGGATTCAGGAGTGAAGCTGCTGTCTGTTGGAGTGAAAAATCCACGCTGTAAACTAGAAACTCTCAGGTCAGGCTTTAGACTTTTTCACCCACAACAGTTTAAAAGCTGAGTTTTATCAGTGGATAAACTGCAAACTCATTTAGAACTCCATTATAAAAAAATCTTTGCCAAAATAAATATGTAGGTTCATCTGCTGTGGTGACCACTTGAGAGAGCAGCCAAAAGAAGCATATTAAGATATGATTTGTTAAAGGTATCTAAACCTGAAGGTTCCTTAGTATAACACTTTAGGACAAATTATTGTTAGTTACTTTCAGTCCAAAGTACCACATAGATTTTATTTGTACAATGCCTGTATATCTCTTGTTTGAAACTGCATTTCTAAAGGTCTGCTTCAAAGTATGTAGTTTGAAATTGGACAGCTGGCCCAGAGACACTGGCATGTTAAAGAGAATTCCTTCTCCCCACCATCACCAAGAGCTTTTCTCTGGGGCTCATCCAGTTGCTGGAGTTAACTTTCTAATATTGTTAGGCCTTACTTGAGAACTGTTGTCATCTATGAGGATTGTCATGTTCTAAATCAAGCTAAATTGAATTGGAGATTGAAAGGATGTATGATATTGTATGTGAAAAACAAACGCAAACCAATGAAAGCAAATCTTGAGTGAAGTATTCACAGATAGATTGTTGTTTTGTGTCTATAGTCTGTCGGGCTGCCTGATCACAGAGCAAGGCTGTACTTATCTGGCCTCAGCTCTGAGCTCCAATCCCTCCCGTTTGAAAGAGCTGAACCTAAGCTACAATCATCCAGGTGACTCTGGCACGAGGATGCTATCAGCATTACAGAATGATCCACAGTGGAGGCTGGAAGTTCTCAGGTATGGGGAAGAATGTCTAATAGAGCAGAAAGTGCTTCACTTATTTCCTGTTTCATGCGTGTGTGTGTGTTATGACTATTCATTGAAACTTGTCAAGTTTAGCAATAACAACAAATGTCAATGTGAGTTTGATTTATATTTCACACTTAAATGAATTTTAAATTAAGGTGCTTGCCATAGAATTTAAAAAAAAACTATGACCTTTTAAACTGTAGTTTAGATACACGCACGTATTAATTGTAAGCCTGTGAGATTAAAAAGGGTTTTGAGATATTTGTAATAGACCTCAAGCCATTGGGCAGCTCGTTCCGATGGACAACATGTGGGGGACCAAATCAGTCACCAGTGGGGAGAGTTGTCACCTCCTATGGGCAAAATCTTGTGGACTCTTTGCTTCTCAACCTATTGGTGAAATACCCAGGACATTAACTGGTGAGACACATAGCTGATGGTTTTCAGCTCACTTTGGCCTGGGTTCAAGCTTGGTTAATTGATCCTCCTCGTGAATGGAGGTAACCATAATTGACTCCCGATCTGTGTTTGCTGGGGCACCAAGATATGGAAGCATAGGGTTGTCCAGATTGCAAGAGCCCTCTAAAGCCAGGGAGTCCAACAGAAGTTCATTCTCCTGGATGAACCTTCCAGTCTTACTGTTTTCTTGCTAAGTCAGTCCAGAAATCCTCTACAGGGATAATCTGTGAGCTAACAGGGACTAGTATGCATATTAGAACAATGTAATGTCCTTGTGTGTATGAACATACATTCTTCATACACACACTAAATGCATGTTCAGCATGCACATAGACTGTGCTTGTCTGACCCCCCTCTTCCTTTCAGGGTGGAGCCTGCTGGAGTCCAATGGTTGAGACCAGGTCTGAGGAAGTGTAAGTGTGTTTTTTAATATGATTAATGAACACAAAAAACACTGAAACATTTTCATCAGTCATTCATTTCTCTGATGTTAGTAGTTATCCAAGTGTCAATCAATGAACAGATGATGGATCAATAACTGCAGCTGGATTGTGTTTGTTCTCTCCATCAGATTCCTGTCAACTCACAATTGACACAAACACAGTACACAAGAATCTTAAGCTGTCTGACAACAACAGGAAGGTGGCACATGTGGAGGAGGTTCAATCATATCCTGATCATCCAGACAGATTTTACTTCTATCATCAGCTGCTCTGTAGAAATGATCTGACTGGTCGTTGTTACTGGGAGGTCAAGTGTAGAGGAACCGTTAATGTAGCAGTGATTTACAAAGCTGGAAGGATACAAGATGATTTTGAATATGTTTTTGGAGTTAATGACCAGTCCTGGAGTCTGCTCTTCTCTGATGATGCTCCTCGTTCTGTATGTCACAGTAAAAAAGAAATGTCCATCTCCTCCTCCTCCGTCTCTAACACTGTAGCAGTGTATGTGGACTGTCCTGCTGGCACTCTGTCCTTCTACAGAGTCTCCTCTGACACTCTGATCCACCTCCACACCTTCAACACCACATTCACTGAACATCTTTATCCTGGATTTACACTCTGGTCTCCTGGTTCCTCAGTCAGTCTGTGTGAAGTTTAGCACACCTGGATATTCATCTGATTGGTGTAGTATATCAATCAGAAACATGTTTTCAGACACATGGATAAATTAAGTTTTAAACAATGACTCTTTGTCAACTTCTTTGTCTTTAGTCCTTTTAAGATGGAAGCTGGGATTATTTCATGAAGCAGATTTTGTTTTGTCCTTTTTTCACTCAAACCTTCACAGTGAATATTATTATGTAGCGTTTTTTATGAATCTGAGTCAAGAACCAGCTCCTCTGCATCTTAGACAAGCCTGAGCTTATTCATTGTTGTTGTTGTTGTCGTTGTTGTTTGCTATTTCTTTTTTTTAAAAAATTCATTTTCAACTTCTCCACATATTATTACTGTTATTGAAGCAGGACAGGAATTAAGGGAGATTTTCACAATAAGAGGACATTTTGGGTTTTGTTTTTATTTTCTCCCAAATAATGACAACCAGTCTGTGTGGATGTTCCATGACTAAATAAACGGACATTCAACAATTCTAACTGAATTGAAGATATTCATCACTCATGATCACTCATGTCTCTGCCATTCTATGAAAATTACTGCTTTTAAAAATAATCTAATGAAAGAAACAATAACTTCTAATATTAATCAGATAAATGTGAAAAGGTCTGATGTAACTAACATCTCATTTAACTCTTTATTGATGATCATTTCTTGCACTCTGTTAGTGGGAAGATGAATTACATGAAGTCAGTTTAATGAACGCAGATGACAGAACTGTTTTTCATTCTACTTTTTGTAATTGTACTGATACTGATACTAACAGTGATTCCTTGAAGTCACAATATTATCCTGCTAAAGTCTGTATTAGTAGATATTAAACATTTCTGGGAGTTAAATTAAATTGTTATCAGCTACCTAAATATGTAAAGAAGTGAAGTAGTTTATAAAGAAAAGTGTCTGGAGTTCTTTAAGTTACTTGAAGACGTTTCACCTCTCATTCGAGAAGCTTCTTCAGTTCTAAGGTCAAATGGTGGGGAGTCCCAGATTTAAACCTAGTGGGAGTTTCCCCCCACAGAGGGACGAAAGGACCCCCTGATGATCCTCTAATCGCCTGAGCCAAGGTGTGAAACTGGGCGTGGGTCCCAATCAGCCAGAGTTTCGGATGTGTTCATTGTGAAACCTGGCGTCACCTTATCATGCGAATTCCTGAGGTCAGATGGCCTAGGATGTGAGTGGGCGTTAAGGCCTCTGGGAAGGGATCTCAAAACTGGATTATAGATGGCAGAGAGTTGGTGTCGTAAACCACCACCTCTGTTTAAAGATGGTCGCTCACAGTGGACATAGATGGCTTCTTTCACTCCTCTTTCAACCCATCTGTCCTCTCTGTCCAAAATGACTTTTTGGACAGAGAGAGTTTTTGACTTTAATAAAGACATGTTTAATTCTAGCCCTGCCTCTACCCTTTGTGCCTGTTAAGTTTCTTTGCTACAAACACACAGAAACCATTGAAATTGAGTGGAAAAATTGTCTGACAGGTATATAAATGATGAAAATCAGTCAGCATGAGCCTGGCAGGAAGCTGGATGATGGACTGATATGAGGTGGAGAGACAGTGGTATGACATTATATTTATGTCAAGACTCACATGCTTGAAGAAAAATGTAATGGGTGCAGATATTCATTGGCACTTATGTAATAACATTTTTCGTGCTCGTTTTACCCTCATGGACTCTGTTTTTAACAGTTTGGTCAGAAACATAAACAGCCTGCTGGAGGTCATTTTGAAGGATCTCAGAGTGTAACTTCTGTTCCTCTTTGCACAAAGGTCCAAGTACCAATCCTGCAGCTGGGTAAATGCCCTTCTACCACCCTGTCAGCTCTCCTAGTGTGTCCGGTATGTCCTATAGGCATCGTACAGGCATTTACACTAGGACAGCCTTAAGAGTGAATCCATCGCACTGGCTGAATAACTGGATAGTTGGTAAAGTACGTCAGTGGGTCATCCCCCTCATCTCCAGATTCTGATTCCAGTACAGAGGGCATGTGAGTGGGCTTCGGATGTTGCTCATTTAGAACTTTACAGAAAGCATTTCCTTCCTTTTAAAAGTTTCACTTCACGTTCCTGAACTTGGTGTCCCAGATGATTTTCTTCATGTGAAGCTCTGTGATAAGGTAACGGAAGCCTGTAATGTTTTCCTTGCTAACATTATAGGTTTGAGAATCTTTTTGAAAGTGAAAATAATCAGATATTATCAAAATTATCAGATAACAGATAGGTTAACCTTAAAAATGTGTCTGTGTGTGTGTGTGTGTGTGTGTGTGTGTGTGTGTGTGTGTGTGTGTGTGTGTGTATTAGCAGTACTGAGTCCAGTTCTAATGTAGCCTTCAGTATCTAATGTTGAAATTGCAGTGTGCATGGACTGAGACATGTTGTGTTAAAATCACAAAAAAATCTGTGTATGAATTTTTGAATAGTTCAGGCTTGTAAATCATATGATACAAATTTGTGACCTCTATAGTTAATGTGCATCATCAAGCTATGTTCGGTGTATGTTTCCTTTTGATGAAATATCTCTGGAAACAAAAATTAAAGGTTCACAAAACAAACTAAAACAACAGGTTGCTTTTCTTTTGTTAGTTGAGTTTTAGTGAGTGAAAAGTCATTTTTCTTATTAAGAAGAGAATCTGAGGCAGAGATCTGAGGTCATGTGTTTGTTTGTTTCTGTTTTTAACTGAACATTAATTGAATAAAACTTCCAGTCACAGTGAATCTGTGTGTCAGTGAAAGCATCGCGTGTGCTTCATGGCGCCATCTAGTGGACTGATAGTAGAAGTAGAGCAGCTGATGGCAGCTTCCTCTGCCTCACACTGCTGTCTGACTGCATTCAGCTGACACTGCTGGTTTTCTGGTTCATCTCAGTGTTTGGACAACATACAATGCAGAGGGAGAATTTCAGTTGATGTGCACACGAATGATTTGTGTTTCCTCTGCAGGTGAAGGTAGAAAGTGTGTGTGAGCTGATGTGGATGTGAATTCAGCAGCATGGATCAGTGTGAGGACAGAGAGGAGGGAGTCCCTCCCTCTAAAACCACTCTGTGTGGGGAACATGAGAGCCAGACCACAGCTCAGAGGTGAGATAACCATCTCTAACTGTCCACGACTCTTCTCCATGTCACAGCTCAGCACTCACATCACTGCTCCATCATTATTCACAGGAACCAACCTGGACCTGAACCCAGCTGTGTGTCCTTAAAGAGTGACTGGTCAAAGAGTATTGGTGCTGATTTTAAAGGACAATGCTCTGCTGTGGAAAGGTAATCTGTATATCTATATCTGTATATATGTTTATTTTTTTCAGTAAACTTTCAAAAAGGGTTAATGCCAGATCAGCTTTTCACGTATCTATAATCAAATGTAGTATGAAGTCTTGAGTGAGGGTTTTTTTTTTCCAGAAACATGGCATGGGAAGCATGTGAAAGCTTTATGATGTATGAGGTATTTGTCAATAAACCAAACTGAGCTGAAGTCTTCAAACAGCTCTAGACTCTGTTGGTGGTTCTCAATGGCATCATCAGGACAACTAAACCTTTACTACCACAATGATATGACTCAGTGCTCATTTCCACACATCACTTCATGGACCTTTGACTCAAGTCTCTGTGTGGGCAGATTTAATGTGAGCTGTCCTTATCACATTTTTTTAAATACATAAAGTGTGTATTTTCTTACCTGGTTCATCTTCTAAAAGTGTCAACACAAGAACTAGAGAAGAAATAGACATCAAGCCCCAAAGCAGCCTCACATTTTGACATGATAGCAAGATAAACAGGATACTTATGTGTCATCAAGGCCCAAGCACTGGCATTGCAAAGGTCACACTGCATGTGCTCCGTTTATTAGTAGTATTTTTAGTATTTCTTCACGTCACTATGCAGGCTGCAAGTAGAGGTAACATGGGCCGCGAAATAGGGACACAGGCATTAGAGCCTCTTAATGCGCATTTTGTTTAGGTTTCCACCAGGGTGGAATTACCAAAAATAGAGAGAGCATAGCCTAATATATGAAACAGGAAAAGACCGCCGTGTAATCCATTTATTTCAACAAAGTAACGGTAACTGTAACCGAATACAATTACTCATATTTTGTATTTTAAATACGTAACGGCGGTGCATGTATTCCGTTACTCCCCAACACTGGCCAATACTGATCGATAGTTAGAGTGCTAGGAATATTTAGGGGAGGTTGTCACAAGTTGATCACAACCACCCCAATAGTGGTCTAAATAAATTAATGATGAAAGTTAAAACTTTTCATTGCTCTGGTGGCATAATGACTCCCTAATGAAACAGGAAGTTTTTGTTAAGAAGTTAAGAAAGCTTTAAAAAATCACAACTTAAAACCTCTGTCATGATGAAGCTTTTGTGATAATTGGTCCTAATGGTGGAGATGCTAAATTGGGTTTACAGCACCACCTACAGAATCTCAATGAGGCATCTACGAAACTGTTTCATCTGCATATATGAAATTTGATAGCCTGATGTAATAGCTCAAGAAAAAAAACCCTTTTTGATCAGTACTCTAAACTAGTGCAGTCAAAATTAACGCATTAACGCAGATTAAGCTGTCATCACGATTAACGCGATAAAAAAATTTAATGCTATTAACGCATCTGGAGTGCAGAATGCCTCAAAATCCCTGAAATTTTTCTGTCAATGCATTTCAGACAGTTTGCCCGCGTAGAGTTACCTTTGTACATGTGCAAATGGGCAGTTGATCTGGTAGTGACGGGCAGCTGAACCAATCAACTCAATATGGAAGATGATAAACACACACTGGCCCTCTCGATGGGAAATTTGAGTATTAAAAAAATAACCAGACGGAAGAGTCGACCATCATAAAGTATTATGCACATAGTGCTGGAAGGAATTATCTTTTCACCGAAGCACTTCCAGCTTAAAATATCCCATTGACGCAAAGCATATCTTAGCTGGGGATGGTGCTTTTTTTGCTCATGGAAAATGAAATGCAATTAATATAGATTAAAAATGAATGAGATTTAATTGTGATTAATCAAAATTAATCCACTGTAACCCTGTGATAAATCTGATTAAAAACTGTGATTGTTTGAGAGCACTAATATATATTATATATTAGTGTATACTATTACTATATAGTTGTATTTCACAGGAGAGCAACTGTGCTAAAAGACAGAAGAAAACTGTTTAAATTCTCTTTGAATTGCAGCATGCATTCTTTGTGTTTATTCTCCATTTACTTCTTTATATTGCATAAATGTCAGTTACAAGCTTAAATATAAAGTTGAAAAAGTGTAATTGCAGCCAGGCTATTGATCAAGTAATTGTGATTAATCGCAATTAATTACAGAAAATTGTGAGATTAATTAGTTAATTTTAATTAGTTAATCTATTCACAGCTATTCTAAACATAACAGGAAGTCAGTCATTTTCAATCTAAGATGCAAGTTTTGGTTCAATTTTTGCCATTTTCTGGTCTTGTATTTATCAAACTTCTCCTCGAAATTGGAATGAATAAACAAGCCTAATCTAAAGGCTTTGGTGATGCTAAATTGTAAAGCTTTTGAGTTTTCAAAGAATCCGTCCACAACGGATTGTCAAACTTTGATCATTTGCCAGGGGAGATTAAACTGTCATATTTTAAATGTACTTTGTCCAGTCTATCCCAAATTTAACATATAAGATGGTATTCTGAGTCCAGAGACATCTACAAGCCAATATCAGCTAATGCTTAATGTTACTTCCAGGCACTGGGAAATCAATATTAACTGATAAAATCACATATGAAATTTTGGATCCAGACAATACACAGCAAAATAAGATGTAGTTGGTTTTCTTATACACAATCTAATGGGCACAGTCAGTTTCATCGCTTCTTGTAGTTTTAATTTATTCCTGTTTTTTTTGTGGAGAGCCATAACATGAGCCAAGTCTTCATGATTTCTCCACAGGGTGAACAAGGAGAGCTCAGAGGTTTCCACTGATCAGTCTGGCCAGCAGCATCACCACATAAAACTTAACTCAATATTTATGGTCAGTACATGTGCAAAAACTATTTTTGCTATTTTCTATTTTGTTCACAGTGATCTCTATGCTGCACCTTTTAGACTAGTGTAAGGACAGTGTGTCTAACATTGATCCAATTTTTGGCTCCGGGATTTCAGTATGATCAGGTGAATCATAGAGTATTCTGTTCCAGCTACTGGAGGAAAACATTATCACTTTTGTGAAGAATGAGCTGAAGACGATCCAAAGAGTTCTGGTTCCAGACTACATGGAACCATTTGAGCGTCAGAAGAAGGATGAGAACGTGTTTGGAGTGAATGAACAGCAGAGAAGCAGAGAACCCTTCCTAAAGATCGCACTACACTTCCTGAGGACAATGAAGCAGGAAGAGCTGGCTGACCAACTGCAGAGCAGTAAGAGTATTTCTCTAAAGATCTTATCTGCTGGAAAAATTAGAAATTTTCTAATAGTTCAAGAGAATAATTCCCTAGTGTAGTGTTTTATACATTTACTTAGCAAGTGAAAGGTTGCAGGTTGGATTCTGGAAGCTGAAGACACAAATGAAGCTTGTGCATAAGTTCAGTAATGACACATCTGTCTACTACCCAGGTGTTTGATGGCTAGTATATTCATCACTTCCTCTTTGCTGTACAATAACTTAAGTTATTTCTTATGTGTTTTCAGAAATGTCTGCTCCAATTTGTACACATGATCTTAAAACTTTGCTGAAGAAGAAGTTCCAGTGTGTATTTGAGGGGATCGCTAAAGCAGGAAACCCAACCCGTCTAAATCAGATCTACACAGAGCTCTACATCACAGAGGGAGGGACTACAGAGGTCAATGATGAACATGAGGTCAGACAGATTGAAACAGCATCCAGGAAACCAGACAGACCAGAAAGAACAATCAAACATGGAGAATTCTTTAATGCCTCAAGTGGAAGAGATCAAACAAACAGAATAGTGCTGACAAAGGGAGTGGCTGGCATTGGGAAAACAATTTTAACTCAGAAAATCATTCTGGACTGGACTGAAGACAAAGCGAACCAGGACATCCAGTTTATATTTCCATTCACTTTCAGAGAGCTGAATGTGTTGAAAGATAAAAAATTCAGCTTGGTGGAACTTGTT